CCAAAGACAATATTTTTATTTCAGTGCGTCATCAGAGAATATGATGAGAACATACTCCTTTCTCTGGTCATATAATTTGTATATCCACTATCAAGCACCCAACTTGATCCACCAGAGAAGTATGCATACAAAACAAGTTTAGTTGCTAGATTTAGGTCCCCAATTTGACTTGGGGCCTTGCATGTTAGTCACAAGAATCTTAGGAACCCAAATAGAAGTATTCCTATATATGTTGGTTTCCTTTCCAACATATTTTGCAACCACTTTCCCACTGTTGTTGTTCCTCAAAACAAAGCATGATGTCAAGCTTTGTCAAGATGCATAAGTCTTTGGTTGATAGGCATACTTATTCTTGGTGGCCCACACTGATTCCTTAGGCTTCTGAAAAACCTATTTCTTCTGATACACCTTCTTCTTGGCCTTAGTTTGATAAGGAGCAGAATTGGTAGCCTTCCCATTTTTGTGGGGCGTGGCACTGCCGCCCTTCACCGTGGCACTGCCGCTCGGGGACGCTGCACTACCGTGGTATGTGTAGGATGATCTGCACCAATTTTACCCTTCATCTCAAACTACACACACTCATAGCCATTCACTGTCCTTCTTCCATTTTTATTGGCTCCTTTTCTGTGTCCAAGCCCATGCTTGATTGAGGGATGTCTTCCTTGCTTGAATTGTGGCCCTTTTGATTCATCATTCTTCTTGTCATTGGATTGGGTCTCACCCATCCACCCTTTTTCCAATGATTTCATTGAGCCTAGCAATCTCCTTTCTCATAGCCTCCATGTTTGCAAGGTTAGTGGAATAGGCATTCAAATTAAGATTAAAACATTTTCCACAACCTTGACTAGTGGAGGGAGTAGAGGTTTCCTTTGCCTTAGGGAGATGTGAGTTGCTATCCCAAAGAATGACATATTGCATCTCAAGTTTTTTGTGCTTTTCATCCAAGTCACAATATTTTTTCTTGAGAGCTTTATTTGCTTTCTTTGTAATAGCATGGTCCTCTTGCTCTTTGACCAAAGCCTTGCGCAAGGATTCCACCTCACTTCTCTCTAATGCAAGAGCTTCTTTGCTAGCAATGTAGAGATCCTCTTGTTGGATAAGAGTCTCTTTTCTAGATTCTAGCTCGGCTTGGACACTCTCTAAATCCTCCATTAGTTTAGTGATGAATAATTTGGTATTTCCATCCAAATTTTTAGTTATCATATTTATTTATTCATCACTATATTTATCATCACTAGAGCTATCACTAATATCACTATTAGAGATATCACTAGGAGGTGGAGGAGATTTGGCCTTCGATTTGGATTTTACCTTCTCACCCTTTGCCATGAGACAAATGTGAGGAGAGTAGTAGTCATCGTCGGATATGTTGTTAAAGAGCCTTGGTGTAGGGGATGACTTGTGACTAGCAATGGTTGCAACCTTCTCATTCTCCACACTTGTGCTCTCTCTAGTTGAGTCCCATTCATGCTCATTCTATGATCGGCCTTCTCCTCTTTCTTGTCCTTCTTGTATTTGTTATCCTTGATCTCATATGGACACTTGGCAATGAAGTGATCGGTGCTTCCATAATTGTAGCATGTCTTATTTTTCTTGTTTGAAAAACTTCTCTTCACTACCTTGTAGCCTTACTTCTTTAGCCCCTTATGAAATCTCTTCATAAAGAGAGCAACATCATCAATCTTCTCATATTGATTATCATCATTTTTACTTTCACTTGAAGATGATGTGGTCTCTACTCTTTCTTGAACTTGCTTGCTTGCTTTGAGCTTACTAGTTGAAGCTTGTTGGTCGATCATGGACTTGCTTGTAGAGCCTTGCTTGCTTGATCTGTTCGCCTTGAGAGCTACATCTTTGATCTTGATGCCCGCTAGATTTGCTTGCATTTCTTTAAGTTTCTTCCTCTCATTTGCTTCTTCTCTTTGCATGTCAAAGTTCAAGATCCTCCCAAGTACATCATTTGGTGTGAAGTACTCAAACTTCTTCTTGTCTCTAATTAGAGTCACTATGGTCTCATTTCTAGGTGAATAAGCCTCCAATATAATCTTGACAACTTTATCATAATCTAGCTCATCACAACCATAGCCTGAATCTTGCCCACCATTGTCATCAACCTATCAAACATCTCTTGTGGCCCCTCTTCATCCAAGATTATAAACCGGTTGAGCTTTGACATCAACAAGTCAATTCTTGCCTTTCTCACTTTGTCAACCCCTTCATGTGCTAGGTGCAAAGTGTCCTATATTTGCTTGGCAACATCAACTCCAGTCACTCTATTGTACTCATCACCATCCAAGACACTAAGCAACACACTTGTGGCTTGACCATTGAGGTGAATGATTATCATCTCTTCTAGTGTTGGGTTCTTGGGATCAACCAATGGCTGAAATCCATTGCAAACAATCTCTCAAATGCCAGGGTAAAGGCCTATAAGATAGGCTCTCATTAAGTGCTTCCACTTGGCAAAGTTAGTCCCATTGAAATGAGATAACTTGCCCACGGGCACATTGATCAAAAACCTCCGATCATGGTTAGTCATAGGAATAGAAGAATAGTTAAAGGATACAGCAGCATATTTGTTGTTGACGGCCTTGCCCTTTCCTTTCTTCTCCTTCTTGTTCCCCTTAGACACTTGGTATGACTCATCATCATCTCTATCTTCGGAATTACTTGATATGCTTGATGATGCACTTGTTGCCTTCTCTTCTTCTTCCTAGCTTCTCTTCTTTTTCTTCTTGCTTCTCACTTGAGCCTTCTTTCTTCTTTCCTTTGCTTCTTCTCCTCTAACCACTCCTCCTCCTTCTCTCTTGCTTCTCTTTTTAGCTTTCTTGCCTCCATCCTTCTTCTCTCATTCTCATTCAGAGCTCCTCCGGCATTGGTAGCCTCAAGATGTGGTAGCGTGGTGTTGCTTGCTGTTGACGCGCTCAGCTCACTGTTGTCCGTGTCGACATCCACCTGCTTCACACCACTAGTTCCTCCTCCGGGCTCCATACCTCACACGGTGAAGCGTATATGAGGTAACCTCGCTCTAATACCACTTGTAGGATCTCTAGTTGGCCTAGAGGGGGGTGAATAGGCCTGTCAAAATAAACAATCAAACTTTTATCAAATTCACCCTGCGGTACTGCCACTCTAGAGGGCGGCACTGCTAGACCAGAACAGCGGCACTGCCGCACCTGCAGACAACTTTGAGTCACAGTTCAAAATCAGTGAACGGAAACTTAGATTGGAGAAATTTCTCAGCCTACTGCAGGTATGATAGTCACAAATCAAGAGCTAGAAGTTATAGGAACACCACACACAAGTAGATCGACTAGAAATCACCTCAACCAACAATATGAAATGCAAGTAATATAAATCAAGCACAAGTGACACAATAATTTATCCCGTGGTTCGGCTCGCCACCAAGGCTTGTCTACCTCCACGTTGTTGAGGTTAGCCATGTTGTTGAGATGAGGGTTGGAGTCATGTTTGTAACCCTTCCTCGTTCTCAAGTCAAGAGACTTAACTCTTGAGATGAGGGGTGAGTTTAATAGCTTTAAGAGATGGCTACAAACCTCCCAGGCTGCCACACAAGTTGGCAAGTTCCACGGGCGACGCTCTAGCCGGCTAGGACCCAAGCTCAAAGAGTAACAAACACAACCGTCGACCAAAACATGAATCAAGTGCTCTTTTGAGTTGAGGAATCAATGGAGATGCTCTCTAATCGAGTTTTGGACCCTTTTCTCTCAAGGATTGATGGAGAAATCAATGTATTTGCTTGAGGGATCAAGGTCACTAATGGAGGGAGAGAGAGAGAGAGAGGCTCCTTTCTGTTTTGGACGAGCTAGAGTGAGGAAGAAGAGGTAGAGAGCCATTGGGGAGGAAGGGGAAGGGTATAAATACCCCCAGCCCCCAACGGTCACTTAAGTCACGGCAGTGCCGCGGCTCAAGTGCGGCAGTGCCGCACCACGCAAGACAGCAAGGGTAAGAGTGAAGTGTAGACTGTCTTGGCTGTGAATCTGAGGATGCATATATATGTTTGAGCACTTGGTAGCACATATTAACTTAAACATTGTGTCTCCCTTTATAGTACGACTTTTGCTATACTCAAATTCAAAATATAAAAAAAATTAAACCTCCTTTGAGTTTAAAGCCATCTACATTTGTAATCGGGGGCTCCTCTGTTTCGTGTAGCATCCTCGAACATGAATTTCCTGCTTGTCATCTCGATAAATTTCATTAGTTCTCTAATTGCGTGGTCATTATCACCAAAACCCACAATTAGGGCTTGATTGCACTTTCACTACTTCGACAGTATTTTTCAGCGAACGAGCAGTGTTTTTCTCTCACAACAAGTCAGCATAAGCCAAATTTCAGCGAAATGAACAGAGATTGATTGAAGAGTTTCTCGAAGAGAGACCTTGTACTTGTCTCTGTAAAAGGACACTGCAGCGACGTGTGCAAGGAGGAGGTGGTGCGCGGCAATGTACGGCTCCGTCGACGAGTTCCCGCCAGTGCAGTTCTCGCCGAAGGGGTAGGAGCACCACCGTGGGGGCTCAGTGCCCATGTCGAAGGCGCCGATGGGCTCTATGTTGGGCCCGTTCACGGTGACCCAGTGCTTCACCTTATCCCCAAAGCTCCTGAAGCAGATTTCTGCAAAAGCGAGGTAATCTTCTCTGCAACACATGGTAGAAGAGAAGCAACTTTCAGCTCTATATATGTACACATGGTAGAAGGAGGCTTCTCGCTCGGCACTCACATGAATCTGGGGCTGAGAAGTCCACCGTATTCATCCTGAAGGACCTGAGGAAGATCGAAATGGTAGATGGTGGCATGAGGCTAAATCCCTACAGACATGACAAGAATGGAGCTAGTTTGTTTAGGAATCAGAGGACAACATGTCGATTTTTTTCTAGGGAAAAATATAAGAAGTGATAGGACAACAAGTCAATATTAATGTTGGGGCTCACGGGTCAGTACTTCAGTCCTACTACGACAAAGTAACTGCGTGGTCTTACCATGCAGTATCAGTTCGTCTATGAGATTGTTGTAGTATTCCAAGCCTTTTGGATTGATCTTTCCTCTTCCATCTACACAACGACATCACAAATTTTCAGGAATACATACATTCAGATTCAGAATTGCATTTTTATGTAAAAAAAATAAAAAAAAAACTTACTACTATAGTATTACCTACCTGGAATCAGCCTTGCCCAAGCAATGGAGAATCTCTAAGCATCTAAACCCATCTCATGCATAAGCTTCACATCTTCCTGACAACAGAATAATTTTGATGCTTCCCTTTGAGGTTACGCTAGCATATTTTCATCAGAACTCTGAACCTGCTACTGCCTACTGTGCAGTTGAAAGCGCTTTAGTATACAGACCTTGTAATGGTGATACTGATCTGCTGAAATATCTGCAGTGGACCCGTCGTACGAAAAACCTATCATCACAGACAAATTTCAAAACCTTCAGGCTCCGTTCGTTTCTCATGGAACCACTGTCTGGAACCGTTCCTGGCCGGATTGTTTGCCATATTTATATAAGCTATCAGCAGCCGGAACGATTCCCGGGTCAATCCTTACCTAAACGAACAGGCCCTCAAGCTGTGAGCACGACTTGAAGACCAACACAAACCTAGCAGTTCTTCGAAAAGGTGGGAAGTGTGTTAGTAGTAGTAGTTATCCGAAGAAATCATCTGGATCGATGCACCTTCATGGGTGAAGGTGTCCCAAATGCTGGGTGTTCTCCCATCCTCTGCAGCTGCCCCTTCCACCTAACGTATTCAGAATAATTGAGCTCTTCACACCAAAGTCCAGGAAGTAAACAGTTTTTTTATGAGTAATATAATAACTACTCGGCTCATTCTTTTTTTTAATACCGTACTACTTGACGCATTATACAAAAATAAGCACTCTGTTCGTTTGGGTTTGTTTGGCTGATAAGCCATGACTGAAAGTACTGTTGGCTGATTTAGTGTGAGAGAAAAATACTGTTCGTTGGCTAAAAAAATACAGCTTATAAGCCAAATAAGCCCAAACAAACAAGGCGAAGGTTGTTCGGCAAAAGCAAAAGAAAAGGACAGAAACATCCCCTCCCATCCTGTTTTTTCTTCGTGTTTTTTTATCTTGTGTAACCTTTTTGGTTGTTTTAATAAATTTTCGGTAGAGACTCCTGAGCCTCTCCTGTTCCCTCAAAAAAAAAAGGACAGAAACAGCACTTGCGCTGCATTTTTTTTTCTATATTTTGTCTCAGTGAATTGTGGATTTCATGTATGCGGATCTGGAGGAGTAACGAAATCTCATGGAACTGTAGTATCACGCTAGATCTTACTCTGAGGACCACGGGTGGGGGTACCTGGAAAGCCGAGGACCCTGCGCCGAAGACGAACCCCTCCGGGAAGTCACGCCGGGTGATCGCAGAGGCACTCCTTGGCACGACGATGACGGCGGCGAGCAAGAAGACGAGCAGCCGTGGCAGCATGCTGTGCGCCCGTAGTCGTCGGAGTACGGCTGAGCTGCTGACGAGCGGCGGCGCCATTCCCTCTCCCTCTGCAGTCTGCACTCCCTGCACTGCAGACGAGACACACTGCTCCTGCCGCGAGGTGGTGATGACTGGTAAGCGGCCGGGTGGGTGAGGACTTGGGGATTCACTAACGTACTTCCACCGATCCTCTGACCCAGAGGAGCACTGGAGACGTCAGGAAGGTAAGTCCGGACGGACCGACGAAATCCCTCTGCTCACTTCCGCACGCGCCGCTCGTCCAGTCACCCTATCCACTCGTCCCGTCCACGCGCATGACGCTCACTGCGTCGTTTCCTCCCTGTGTCGCCGTGCCCATCCACCCCCTCCACTCGCCTCGCCTCGCCGCCGCACCCCCGCCCCATTCCCATCAGCCTCATTCGTGCCACATTTTCCACCGGGCCCAATCTGTCTCGCCCGCCTCCACCGCGCTGCCTCCACGCCGCGGCCAGCCCACTCGCCGCGACCAACGCTACCGAGCCGGCGAACCTCCACGATAGATGCTCCAACAAGCATACGAGGGGGACGAGATTCGTGTGACGCCACACCCGTCGGCGAGTTGCTCGTGCCGCTGCAGGTACATGCATCGCCGTTGACCTCCGCGTTGGTGTGCCTCCACTCGTTTAAGCAAAGTCCGTGTTGCAAGAGTATGTTTCAAGTGTTTCAGATGTTTCATCTGGATGTTGCAAGTGTTTCATCTTGATGTTGCAAAAGTAGATCGGAATGTTGAACATGTTGTAGTGGCTATACACGTATGTTTCAAGTTTACGTTCCAAATGTTTTATCTTGTTTTCTAGACGTATATTTGCAAGTGTTTCATCTGAATGTTGCATATATTTTCACACATATAAATTGTTTTTAGGTGTTTTTGCAAGTGTTTCATACGCATGTTTTGATTGTTTCGGCTATTTTGCACATATGTTCAAGTGTTTCATTTGGATGTTTCAAAAGTAGATCTGTTGATGCAGATAGACGTATGTTGCAAGTGTTGCATTCGGATGTTTCAAAAATAGATCGAGTGTTGCATCTCTGTCCTCGCTTCTCTGCTGCCTCACCTTCGCCTCGGTGTCTCCTCCTCCTCCTCCCGGCGCCGGCTGGGCATCCGTCACCCCTCCACATCTTCTGGATGTTGGCGTAGCCACCTGCTGTAGTCACCTGCTACAGCTGCTGGTCGCATGCATGCACGTGAGAAGCGGAGGGGGCACGAGCGTGAGCGGGGACTCCCCATGTGTAGTTGAGCGGCGCGGGCCCCGCGTAGGCGGTCGCAGGATGCAGGTGCGCAGGGGGAGATGGAGTGCAGTCGCCGCCGCGGGCGTCCGGGCACTAGCACTACCGCTTGTGATTTGGTCCCTTGCTAGGTTTGGCTCCTAGGCCGTTTAGACGTGGGAATCAGATTTCTCTTGGGCCTGTTTGGACGTGAGAATCAGATTCGAAAACAGCAGAAACGACTCCAAACGAGGTTGCAGCGCGTGGAAATTGCTTCGCTTTGGATTTTATTATTTATTTATTTATTTATTTGCCTTCCTTTCGTGCTAGCCATTATATTTTTTCAGTTATATAATTCTTTTTTAGTGCAACAAGTTATTAGAATGAATTAAATTTAATTTGCTCATTGTACACTAAAAAGGTTTAAAAAATTAACATATTTTCACTTATATGTTTTTTAAGAAAATATTTTTTCTTGTGAATCACAATCTAGTCTATTATCTAAATGGACCCATAAAACGAATCTAATTTATCGTTTGAAACATCTTCTGAAAGAATCTTGACTCCGGATGTTTTTTTGTAAGATTTTGGATTCCATTAAGCACACATTTAAGCATTTCACATGGTTTTCATTTCAGCCTCAATCCATATGTGTTGAAGTGTATTGAGGTGTAATATAATTAAAGTGAATACGAGTACAGCCAAACAAGTCCACCGTCTATTTTGTTGCGGTTAACACGACACTCGTATTTTTTTAGAGTTTCTAGTGAAAACGTTGTGCACGGGACCGAACGTGCTACCTGATTCAAGGTACACAATCCCTTTGCTCACCATGTAGTGTTGATGTTAAAGTTTATTTTTTAATCTTCAACTATCACAGTAGTCCAATTTTCAATATAAAACCAGGCATTTGCTAACTATATAATGAAACTGGACGAAATACAATCCTATATTAATTCCCCCTTGTTTTCATCCCACGTGACATTTTTGAGGAACGGTTTTGACACGTCAACTAATGGTTTTAAAACTAAAAGTTAAAAACTGAACATTCATGATAGTTGGAACTTGAAATTTAGATGTCACATTAATAGAATTATATTAGATAAATATTTTTCTAATATAATTTTTCAAAGTCCATTAGATGTCCTAAGTAAAACATTTTCTACTTTTGGCAACGAATATCTAAAGTTGTACGGAGACTAAAACATGTTCTTTATTAGTACATTATTTATGTAGTACAAGTTAATGTTATACCATTCATAATAAAAATATTAATATTAATGATTTATGTGATGATTATTTTGATATCTATGGCATATTATTATGCATGTTAATTTACATAAATCAATATATTTTATATTTTCAGATAAATGTTTTGCTAGGTGGTTGCTTTTTTAACTGCAAAAGAGTTATGCAACCTAGGTTCCAATCTTATCAACTAGCCTAGCAAGCTAAGAATAAATGTAAGCACATAACCTAGGTACACAAATTAAATGCGGAAGCTTAAATAAGATAGGGATGCAAACTCTCGTCGACGACTCAATGCCCTGGAACTACTTGGCGCTAGCTTTCGCATTCGCCGCCATGAGAATTTCAACCTTTGTCGGCTTCTTCTTGGCGCCAGAGCGAATCACCGTGACAAGGAAAAATTTTGGCCGAGAATAGCCTGCTCTGAGTACCAATTGTGACAGACTAAGGTAGTTGAGTGGAATTTGGAGTAGACTAAGCAAGAACTAGGTAGGATTTAGTATGAACTTGGGAGGAATTTGGGGGAAGTTCAGTGCGGCTGGCCCGCCAGAACTCAAGGTTTAGAGTTTTGGAATAACTGTTCATTGGTTCTGTTACACACCGTTTCAGCGGCGCAGTGCCGACTCTGGCCTAGGTCCACTCGTCTTTCACCGTAGCCTGGTACCCGGTCAACACGCCAGCCACTGTCCCCTTCCTTGTTGTCGGATGCTAAACATCTCGCCTTCCAAGCCAGCTTACGTCGCCGCCATCTTAGAGTACGCGGAGTCATGACAACAAGCTAGTATATAATATATAAGAACCGCAGCGAGGATGCTGAGGTAGTAGCGTTTGGTGTCACCGAACTCGCAGCGATGCGCACGATCTCGTCCTCGTCGGCGCCGGACCGTAGTGTACTGGAGAGCGCGCAGAGTGCACGCAGGCCTGTCGGCAGACCGCGGCCGCCCCGGCCAGCGCCTGCGCAGCCGACCGCGACCATCTGAGCCTCCCCGCTGGCCGCCCGCGCCCGTGTAGTCAAGCTGCAGACCGCCCACGCCGATGCCAGCCTCCCACGCTCGCGACCTCTGACTGCTGCTGCATCACTAGTGGCCCGCCGCCTGGTGCGGCTAGTGTTTAACTCGTTTGAATTGGGGAAAGTGAAAGAGTAGGAAAGTGCAGTTGTGGGGAATGAGAGTAGTTTTATCTTTTCGCGTGGACGTCTTTTGTTTTTCTTTTCTTGTTTGCTATTTATTTAATCCACCTAACCAGAGGCAAACGGTTACTTCTATTCAAAATTGCGAGAGCAAAATCACAAAATTTAAAAAGTAGGAGTAAAATCACATTTGCATCTTATAGTAGGGATAGAAACACCAAATTCCCTACAAAAATTATTATATCATGTATTTTGTAAACTTTATTTGGGCACTGAGTACCCTTTAGTTCCAAGCGTAGCAATTTTTTTTCTTTTCCAACACTAAGAACTACACTCCTTCATGACTATGCCTGTACTCCTTGCCTCTGTTCGCTGAAAAGCAAGGCATGATTGTAAAACTATCAGCAGCAACCAAAGATAAAGGGGAAAGACAATAATAAAAGGCTGACCTAAGTTATTTATAATCCCATCTGCATATCTATTCTGTATTACTCAAAACAGCGGTGCTCCATTTAGCCGAGTGATGCCCATTTCTACAATAATTCTTCAATAGTTGAATTGTCTCCGGACCTCAAGATTTCATCATCTCCCTGTGTTTTAGAAGCAAGACTAATTTGTCAAACCCTTTTGTAATGTTTCTCAGTGGAATGTAAGTGTCATGATGTTCTTGATGTGAACAAATGTTCAGATGACCACTAATGACACCATGGACATGCGCACTGTCAGTTGAAGCTGCAAAATTGTGGCCTAATACTCTTAGTCGTTTCATTATCCCATGAAATTGTCAATGAAGACGAATAGACACTTAGGAGAAAATTGTGGCCTAATACTCTTAGTTAACGGCGAAGCCACGGAGGGGCTGGAGGGGGGCCAATCCCCCCTAACTTTGCTATTTTTCATTATACCCCTTAATGACATAACTAGTCTATCATGTAATTAAAGAGTAAATGAACGCTCCCCCTATTGACATTTGTCCCATGTAAACCTAAGTCCTGGTTTTGTCATTGCTTATAGTATTGGGAGTTGAGCTCAAGCTCTGCCTTGACCCACCTCTTTTGCACTCAGTATCTTCCTAATGAAGGACTTGGGATCCCCATATGCAACTTCAAATGGTTTGATCGGCTCATACTTTGTATTGCTCATCCCATCAGTCACATTCACAATTTCCGTTCAAACTCCAAACTTTTGCTTATTGTTGGCAATTGTGTTCAGCATTGAGGGCATTTGACGAGATTGTGGTTTGTTGACCCATGTTCTTTATCTGATGTAGCAAGTATCCGATCCTAGCCAAAAGTGAGGACTCTTGGAGATTAAGTAATAAATTATAAGAATTATGTATATTTGTTCATATAGTCATGTATGAAGATGTATATATGTAATCCTTGAGTGAAAGGAGTATGAGGGCATTTGGTTGCTAGCCACACTTCGCCTTAGG